TCCCTCTCCGTCCACGCTGCAGGCGAAGGCTTCATGAGGGCTTGGTGCCCCTCCACGAGCAGCAGCACTGGCCTCAGCTCCTCACGTCGGGGATGCTCGTCACCTCACCGGCCCTTCACGGGAGGGGAGGACCGCAGCGGAGCAGGGCTGCAACCAGCCTTTGAGCGCTGCTTATCTGCGTGCTTTGTAACAGGAGAGATGACGGGGGGCACCCACTGTCCATGGAATCATCCCTCCCACTCTGGCCTCTTGCTTCCCTTGCCCTTTAGCTCAGCAATCAATAGTGCAAGTGCTGAATGAAGCGGCGGTTGGGCTCGCAGGAGCCAGCATGGGGCAGGTGGTACAAGCACACCCTGTATGATTGCTCTGCATCGCACAGTTACAACAGAAAATAACCTGAATGTGATCGAGTGCACTAAGCTCTGGTTCTTAAAAAAAGAGAAAAAGGAGGAGAACAAAAGAACAACAAAAGGATGAGGTATAGCGCTGGTCACGGGCCCAGGCACGGCGGTTGCACCGGCTCCTGGGGCTCGGTGGCAGCTCCTGCAGGGCGCTGCTTTCTCCTGGGTTCCCAGATGCTCCCGTGCCGTGTCCTGGTGGCGGTGCCCGAGGCAGAGGGTCGGGGTTCAACAGTGTGGCGGTTATTTGGGCAGTGAGACACACACTGAGGCTCTTCACCTCCTTCCAAGCTGCTTCTAAAACCTCATCTACCCCAGATACGGACCAGCTCGGATGAGGTGAGCGTCATTGTCACATCTGGTCACCGTCTCTTCTGTGCTCTGTTATAGCACATCATTCCCCCCAGTTCCAGCCATGCTCACCACAGGCTCTTCATTCCCCCTAGCAAGTCTCTTCTACAGCTTTTCAACCTTCTTTTTAGCTCATAACCATAATTCTTGCACCTCTAACAACCAGTCAAGGGTTGGGGTGTTCTCAGGTGAACATGAAGTAGGAGGAAGACTTTCATTTGAAACAGCTTTGCGGGAGAAACTGTGGAATGGGCCACCATGCCTTTGGCACATCAGGGGATGCAAACCTTGCTCTTACCAAAGGTAATTTTACAGCTCACTCTGGAGGCATAAGAACCCAAAGGAAATCAAGGAGATCTGTTAATATCTTTGTCAGTCTGTGAGGCAAAGCACATCTGGACTTTGAGTTCAGGCATTAAGGAGCACTGAAAACCGTTCCTTGACCTTTAAAATGCAGTGATTTTCCAACTCGGTCGCCAAATGCACTCCTTAAGGAGCTTTACGGGCGTGCATTGTCCAAGCATTTCACATCAAGCTGGGAAGAAGTGTCTGAGTCAGCTGGAAGAAAATAGAAGGTGAAACCTTTATGCTTAATAACCCATCACCGGTGCTGTTCTGTGAATGGTCTTACATCAGGAAACACCCTTAAACTACTCACTGCTGCCCAGTATTTGCAGTCCCTCCTGACCAAGCGAAGGTGTTTCACGGTGTTAACTCCTCTCACGGGCACCAAACTGCACAGGGAAGGGAATCCTGAGCCGTGCCTGCAGGAATGCCTGGTCTTGTGTTTGCAACCAGGAGCTGCATCTCTAACTGCTTCCGAGGACCAGGTCCAAGCTCCCAGAGCTGGAGGTGCCCGTGGTGGGAACGCTTCCCTCTCTCGCCGTTGCTCTGCGGTTGGTTTTGTCACTGCTGGCCGGGAGCTGGGTCAGGTCTCACTGGATGTCAGGAACCCGATGTCTGAGCGTCCTCCCCCTGTGCTTGCAATGTGCAGTGACACTGGTGGAAGAGGAGCTGATTTCTGAGCCCACAGCTGATGTCCCAGAAAATTTTCACTCAGCTTTGGCAAATGAAGCCCGTTCTGGGCTTGTAGAAAACCCAGGAATAACTCAGGCCTGGGCGTGAAATCCCGTAGTGCTCTCTGTGCTTTGCTGTGTGGCTGTGATTTCTTGTTTCTAGCATTTAAGGGATGTTTAAGTATCATTTCAAGGCAGTTTTGGCAAAATCCATCCTTGTTACTCAAGCTGGGTGCCTTGATTCTGACACCAGCGTCTCCTGTCAGCTGTGCTATGGTGAGGTCTTGTCTCAGGTGAGTGCTGCTTGCTCCTCACTTGGTGCTGGGTATAGAACAGGCTGCAAAGCTGAGTCAGTTCAATGGGAATTACTCTTTCTAGGGCAAAACATCTGGAAAGACAAATGGTTTGAATTTCCCTTCATGATGGACAAAAGAGAGGGGATAACCTAATGCCTCCCCCCAGTCAGTGCAGCCGCCGTCTGCAAATCCGAGACCACTAAAAAATGCCCTTTGCAATAAAATCCCCCAGGAAACAACCTGAGGTCCGGCAGCTTGTGGGATTTCTGCTGTGTCCATGTAGGAAGCAACCGCGCATCCGGGCTTTGTGTTCTTGTTCGGGGAGGGAGAACATCTGACGCGTGGCCTGGGGATTGAGGACCGGGAAGAGCCGATGTGGGGACGTGGACAGGCTCGCCCCATCTCAATTCTAACACACCAGCGCAAGGGGCTTCTCCAGCAAAGAGAGAGGGCTCCAGCTCCCAGGGGACCGGATGCTGGAGGTGAAGAACTGAAGGTCTTGATGGGCTTCAGTCTCGTGAGTGACAATCGTGAAGCCGCTGGCACGGAAGCCCCACCTGGGCAGCCTCTCCATGAGCAGGAGTTGCTGTTCCCATGAACCCATCACACTGCAGCAAGCGAGGACTCAGCACTGAAAGCGAGCCAGGGCCCAGGTTGTTCTGCTGAGCTGCGCTGTCACCCTCCAGTGCATCCTCACTGTGTCCATGGTGGAACAGAAGCCAAAGTATTGGGGTTTCCCTGGTGTGTTTTCCAGAATGTTCTTTCCCACGGATTTTCCATGCTCCAGCAAGGGCAGGTTTTTCCACCTGGTGCAGAACCAGTGAGCCTTTTGCTGGACCTCAGGCAGCTCCTGTTCCTGCTGCTCTTCATCTGTTTCTGTTCTGTGTCTCCAGAAGAGCATCATGTATGGAGCAAGCTGCTCTAGTGGAAGGTGTCCCTGCCCAAGGCAGGGGTTGGAGCTGGATGAGTTGGAACTGGAAGGTCCCTTCCAACCCAAACCATTCCATTATTCTATGCTGCTTGCTGAGAGAGGAGCACTAAAGCTCTGCAGCTCGCTGGAGGGATTCCCAGGCAGTGAGCTCTGAGTGGAAGGGGAAGGGATGCTGCATCCATGCCAGTGAGCAGAAAATACCCGCAGAGCTCCCTGCTCTGCCCATGGTGCTGTTCCCCTTCTGCAGGACATGGTCGTTATCCTGCCCCAGGTGGGTTTTTCCACTGGAATAGAGTTGGTAAAGCAAAAGCAATACCGTTAACTTGAAGAGCAGAAAGCTTTGCCTCTTAGGATGCCTTCCCTCACATAGATTCAAAACCCAGCACGCCAGGGCAGAGAGGGTTTAGCCTCATCCAGGCACTGTTGACCTCATGTAGCTGCTTCGTGCTCTGGCAGGAACGTCGTGTTCAGTCCTTTGTTTGTTCCCGTTGCAGTCGTCAGGGCACCGAGTTTGCTTCCTCAAAGCACTCGGGGCTGTTGGTGCATCCCGCGGTCCCGTGCCTCAGAGCTCAGCAATCCGGGCGCCCTGCTCCGAGCAGACGAGGACTGAATCTGCTGGGAGCCTGAAGCCGACCCCTCTCCATCCCCCCCGTCAGCAGCATCCAACCTCCTCTCTCCTCAGAGGCCTGCAGTGATTTTGAGCTGGTAAAGATCCAAAGTCCACGACAGCCGCTTGACCCTGTGGTGGGGTTGGGTAAACCAGGCACCGAGCCGCGGCGTTCCGCCGACCCACGCTGGGTTTGCAGAGGGGACGGCTCCATCACCTCCATCACAACAGTCCTTCCCTTCAGGTTTGGTTTTGTTCCATTGTGGCCACGGGTTCGAGCTGGTTCCTGGGCCCTGGTGGCACCAGAACCACGGGCTGGGGTTGTTGTGCTCTGTGCATTGGAAACCCTCCGCTTCGCCAGTAGAGAACTGTACAAAATCCCAGCTGTGCTGAGGGCTGAGCCATGGTAAAGGCTGAAGGTCAGAGCCATCGGCGTGGCAGAAATTCCCCGTTAACCTTTTGTCCTCTTCCAGTCTCGGGACCGCTCCTCTTTTGGTGTGCTGGGTTTTTTCTCCTTTGGAAACTGATCCTTCAGGCCAGTCCTTGCGTTAAGGGTATTTTATGAAGAAACCAGAGTTTTTAGTGGTGTCTCCCCTGAGTATTTTCAGCAAATTTCATAGGCACCTTCAAAAAAAGCTTCCGGAATTCTCGGTTTTGCTACAAGAACCGGTCCCGTGGAGGGAACCAAAATGCTGCTTAAAAACAAACAAACAAAACATACAAACAGAAAGAACCCCAAACACTCATCCTGATCACAGGTTCCAAGCATCCAGTCCTTTGTTCGTAACCTCTCAGTCACCCTAATTCCAGATCAGCAGAAGATGCTGTTGAGATGTTCCCCTGTAGCGTACCAACAAGTTGAGAGTTAGAGAAAGGGCTGGCTCCAGGGTCTGGTAAACCCTCAGCTCCTACTTGGAATTCAAGTATTGAGGAGGGCATCCTGGACCCAAGAGGAGCATCCCAGAGCCAAGGAGAACATCCTGGACCCAGCGACAGCATCCCAGACTTCACAGGAGGGAGGGGCTGGGAGGCAGGCGATAGACCACATCACAGAGCTCCTGCTCCATTGGGTCACCTTCTCCTGACTCGAATTTTCACGTGAGGCATCGCAGAGTTTACAGTTGAGGTCTTGCTTTGGCCGTACAAGACCAGGGTCAGTGGAGAAACACGAGGAGAAAACCAGCGTGTGCTCAGGTGAGGTGAGTGCACCTTCTCTTCTCTCTTGCTTTGGCAACGTCACTGGTCACAGGCTACATGCTACTACCAGAAACAAAACAATCAGAAATAAAGCAAAGTGGCCACAGAAGTGCTTGTTCGTGTCGCGGGATTCATGTCAGAAAACCAACAAATGGGAAGTGACTGGCAGATGTGTCCGGTCAGTCCGGAGCCTCTTGGATATTGCAGAGAAGTGAGTGTGTGTCAGCACGTGGCAAGCTACATAATAGAAGATGCTACATTCCTTGGAAAACAAAAGTAGTGCTGAGTTGGATTTCTTTCTGAGTGCTTGTTTTCCTCTTTGAAGAGCTTTGCCTCCGAGGCAGGGAATGGAATCCAGGGAAAAGAAACCCCATCACTGCACTGCTCCAGCAGTGCTGGATGGAGCGGCCCGAGATGCTCCCGCCGGGTGGGCAGGACAGAACCACATCGCTCTGAGTCCTGCCCAACGGGAGGAGGTGCAGGAACAGTCCTGGGATGGGGCAGCAGCCGCAGCCCTTGGTCTGCATCATGGAGGGGGGGGTTTGCTTCTCCTTCCCCCTGCCTCAAAGCGCTCGGCCCTCGGCCATCTCCAACATCCCGGGATGTGCTCAGGGAGGAGCGTGTGGAGAGCAGGGAGGGAGGGTGGAAAAGAGAGAAAGAAAAAGGGTGCGGGAGGACCAGGATATTTACAGCATCCAGTGACAGTTCTGCTGGGGCAGGGGCTCCCTTCCCCGCCCAGCCTCCCCCACCAACCGGCCCCTATGGGCAGGAGGGGCTGGTGGAGCTCTCCAGGGAGGACTGGGAGAGGCGGCGCGTCAGGGGACCGATGCTGGGGTCGGCCAGCGAGGAGGTGGGGAAGAGTTTGTACCAGCCCGCGACCGCGCTGGAGAGATCCAGCTCCTCCAGGATGATCTGCGCCATCCCCATGAAGCACTTGTGGTCCATGCGCCCATAATCTCCCCAGACGATCACCTGTGGGGCAGAGAAGGCGTTGGGGGCACTGCCCTGCTCAGCGGGTGGGGATTTTGAGGAAATCTTGGCAAACTCGGCATGTCCAAGCACGAAGGACCGGCCATGATGGGAGCAGGGAGGCTGAAGAACAGCAATGAGGATGCTGGGTTCCTACACCCTGCCCTTGCCTCATAACCCCCCCCCCCCCCCGCCCCGGGAGCTGTGCGGGGGGAGTTCATCACCTGCAGGACTTTGCCCTGGGGGCTCTCCTCAAAGAGCAGAGGCTGCTGGTACGAGGGGTCGCAGGTCTTCTTCACCACCTTGGTCTTCTTCTTGGCCAGGCAGATGCCGTTCTCCAGCAGGTAAACCTTGACGTAGGTGGCTGCATGGGGAAACGGGTGAGAGACACCAGCTGGGAGCAGGCTCCGGTGTGGTCCCGGCACTGATCCCGTCCCCATCATTCCCCCTCCATCCCGCACCCACTCCCTTCCCATCCACCTACCAGGGATGGACTTGGAGCCCATCTTCGGGATAAGTCCCCTTGCCTGGATCACCTCCACCTCCAGCTGCCCGTTGCGGTCAGCCATGCCAACGTGGACATCGCCTAGGAGGAGGGACAAGACGCATTCAGCACCCGCCCCCATGGTCACATCCCACCGGCCACTTTGCTCCCCCTCACTGGAGCATCCTCATGCACTGCCCAGCTCCGTGGGGCTGGATTTGGGCCCCCTTGGCTCACCCATGGGTGGCGTGGCCAGTGTCTGCCGTCCCACCAGCTGGCCCGGCCCCAGCCCATCCAGGAAGTCACTGAACTGGCTCTCGGCACCCAGCCGGGTCGTGGGGAAGATGAACCTGTGCCAGGGAGAGCAGAGGGATTCATGGAGCGTCGGGCAGCCGGGGCTGCAGTGGGATCCCCAGCCCCTGTCACCCCGCGGTGCCTTACGTGCCGTCGGAGCTGTTGCTGTTGGTGCTGCCGTCGGTGGACTCCCGGCTGCCCTGCCGGGTGATCCTGGTCCTCATCTCCACCGCAATGCCGGTCTCCGTGCTCCTCCGGATGTTGCTGCGCAGCTTTTTGGGACCACCCTCTGGAATCAAGGCAGGGGTGAGCCCGGGCAGCGCCGGCTGCACCCAGACCCATCAAAGCAGGCACAAGAACTGGAGCACTGTGTATGGCCAGAGCATCCCCATGTGCTGCTCCCTGGTACAGCCCACTGCATCTCACCGCATGGCCTCCAGCAGCCCCATCAACGTGTGCCCATGTCCCTGTGCCAGTGGGGACCGGCACCCTCAATGCCAGAAGCAGGCACAGCCCCAACACTGATGTCTCCCTTTCTCCCGCAGTCACATTGTCCCCACTGCCGCACGTCCCACGCGGTGGCAGATGGCAGGAGGAGGAGTGTGGCACGAGCATCCCCCCTGGCACCGCCGGCAGCCCCGCTCTTGCCGTGTGAGCCTGTGTGTGCCGGTGCCGTGGTGCTCTGGGGCAGTCGGGTTTGTCCCCACATTCAGGGCTGCCTCCGTGGAAGTGATTTTCTGGTCCTGGGAGCCCCCCCAGAGTGGGTGCTGCTCCTCTGGGTACCCACAGCAGGGGCCTCCCGGCTCTGCCCTCCCCGGGTCCTGCCTGGCTTCATCACTTCTTGCTTGGGTTTGGGGGATAATGATACCCCTTCAGAAGCACCTTGGACGTGCAGGGCTGGAGGGCTCCAGATTTTACCTCCTCTCTTTATAGGACATTTCCCAATCACAAAATGCCAACAAGAAGGGGAATAACAAAGCAGAAGAGGAAAAGCCGGCACTAAACTGAGCTTTCGCTTCCCGCGCCCTTTAAAAAGCTATTTTAAGCACTTAAATGTTTCCCAGAGCCAGGCTGTTTGACAAGTCCTTTCTCCGAGATCCCTCCGTGCCTGTGGCCAGGAATGGCTGTTACCGGGAGGGGGGGAGCTGAGGCCAGACCAGACAACGTCCCCACCTCAGGTCTGCAAATGGTTTTGGCACCTGGAGAAGTGCTGGTGTGCCAGGGAAGGGGTTCCAACGGGCAAGTTTAGGTGCCTTCATCAGACACAGAGCGTGCAAGTGTCCACACACTGTGTAGATGAGGCCCTCAGCGCCATGGGTTAGTGGTGGCCTTGGCAGTGCTGGGGCAAGGGTTGGACTTGACCTTAAAGGTCTTCCCGGCCCAGTTGGTTCCATGGTGGCTCTGGGCAGCCGGGACTGTGCCAGGGGCTGAGGGGCCCGGGGGGGGGAACAGCGCTCACCGGTCTGGTTCAGCTGCAGCGTGCTCTTGCTCCACTGGGACAGCCCCACGATGGCCACCATCTTGGCGCCGAGGCTGGAGCGCCGCTTCTTGCTGGTGGTGCCGGCGGTGCCGGCGTCGGCGCTGCCGCGCGCGCTCTTCTCGGCGCTGTACATCTCGCCGCTGATGCTGGAGCTGCGCACCACGCTCCTGCCCACGCCGGCGGCCGCATCCCCGTTGAACATGGTCAGCCACTGGCAGGGATCAGCTGCGGGGGAGGCAGGGGGGGACAAAGCCATGGAATTCCGGCATCACGACCCATTGGGACCATTTTTCCCCACCCATGGGTGCAGGAACCCCCATCAGCCCGTGATGCCCGGTGAGCAGAGGAAGGAGGGGACGTTGAGGCTCGGGTACAGCCAGACCTCCCGCGGCTGCTGCCTTCCCTTCTCCATGAATATTTAAACTCCAGTGGGAGGGGAGCATCCATCTTCTGAAGAAAGGTGAATTATTAACTCCAGGCCAAGTGAAGCCACTTTATGATAATGGATGGAGGCAGCGCCTGGAAAAACATTTCTCTTTCAAGAGAGATGGCTGCGAATGCAGGGATGAGTGATGGGAATGGGGGAGCAGGGCAAGGAGGGGGCTTCTGCTGCCCCTTGCCACCCAGAAAAGGAGCTTCACAGGGGCACAGTCCCTGAGGGGAGCCGTGGGCTCAGCTCCAGCACTGTTGAGCTCATGGATTTATCAGTTACAGGACGGATGTAACAGGGGCAATTAGTAATCAGTCATTGCCATCATTGATGGGCTCCCAGAGAGCAGCACCCAGCCCACGTTTCCCTCCTGGTTGGTGTTTTCTCTCCCTCTCTGCCCAGGCTCCCTCAGGCGCCGCTTCCATTCCTCATCCCCGTTGGTGCTCGGTGCTGAGCAGGACCCCGGATCGATCCAGTGGGATTTGGGGTGCCCCCAGCAGCAGCACATGCTCCCCTCCTGTGCACACGTTCCATTTGCTGCTGAACAAGCTCTGCCCCGAGGGTTTGGGCCCTTTGGATAAAGCCGTTGGTGAGGGCCAAGCACCCGCTTGGAGCCATCCCACACAGCGTGTGCCCATGGCGAGCGGGGACAGGCGAGAGCAGCCAGCAGCACTTGTCCTGTGCTCAGCGCCTGCTCGAGGAAGAGCCAGGACCTTTGGGATGAGCATTTTCTGATGCCCAGGGCCACTCTCCAGCCCCCTTCCGGGCTCCAAACCTGCTGCAGCCCCTCACAAGGGGGGATTTTCTCTAGGAAGCTCCTGCTGCAGGGAATGGATCCCACCCGCTGCCCCAAGCACAGCTCAGCGCTCCCCATGTTCCACGCCTCTTCCCTACCCCGTGCCTCAGTTTCCCCACCTGCAAGCCTGGCGTTAGGCAGTGCCTAAGGAAACACGCAGCCCTTTGCATGGGGCCCGGCGGGTGCAGCACCTGGCTCAGGCCTCCCCAAGCGGTGTTCCAGCAAGGAAAGCTGCGGCACATCCCAGCCCCGGCCAGGAAACACAAAGGGCTCCTGCTGCTGTTTTCCCCTCTGGCGCTTCAGCTGCCAGGAGAGCACCGGGCTCTGGTGGAAGCAAATTAGATGAGGAGAGCGGAGCGCTAATGGGATCATTTCCAATGCATCACACGCACGGATAAGCCACCGCAAAGGATGCGGCCCTCACGCTCCTCAACCCACAGGATGCTCTTTCCCATGCCCATGGTTTTACCGCCTATTCTCCCTCCACAACCTGCTGCTGGTGGGTGCAGGATGGGGAGATCAAGGAGGTGCCAGCGCTCGCTGCCGGGATGAGCTTGGCCAAGACCGTACCCAAGCACCAGAGCCCGTGGCTCTCAGCACCAAGCCGGCCTCGGCACCGCAACAGCATTCCCGGCTGGCACAGCCATCCTAGGGCTGCCCCTGCTCCCTGCCCCAGCAGCGGGTGGGGGATCCAGGGAATCCACCCGCTTCCCATCACCCCGGCTCTCTATTTTATTTATCTCTATATCGCACGACACCGGGGCTCTCGGCGCGGCCGCGCGGCTCCCGCGGCAGCGGGCTCTCATGCACGTCCCCTCCTTCCCCACCATGGACACGCATCCCGAGCCACCGGCGCTTACCGACACCGCGCACCGTCCTCCCGGGACACGGCCCCGGGCACCGCGGTCCCCAGCGAGCCGGCCCCGGCTCCGGAGCGGGCCGGGATGGGGGTGGGATGCACGGAGCCGCCGGGAGCACCCGGCAGCGCTGTCATGGCTGTAGCATCCCCCCCTGCCCGCAGCCAGCGCCTGGCGCCGGTGCACAACCGGCAGCAAAACGTGCTCCCTGTTGCACTGCAATCGCTGCTGCGGCCCCCGAGCCCCTGGAGGCGGCCGGGGCTGGACCCTGCCCTCCCCACACCGGCACCCAAAGGCAAAGGGGAGGGAGGCACCTTACCGCCCTGCGGCCGTGCGGGAGGAGCGGGCAGCGCTGTCCCCGCCGAGGCTCAGCTCCAGAACCCATCCCCGGCCGGAGACGGAGGTGACGGGGCTGGTTAATCTTTAAAGGGTTCCGGAGAGCGGGGCTGTGCCGCTGCTTCAGCATCTCCTCCAGCATCTCCTCCAGCATCTCCATGGTTACATCCCTGACCCAGTTCTCCTCCCGGCCCCAGCACGGGCAGAGGGGTCCAGCGGGGTGGGATGCACCTCGCCCGGGCTGGGGACATCCCTGTGCAGGGCTTTGGGTGCCCAATGACCCTGCTGGGTCCCTCCAACTGGACAACATGGACCTGCCGGGTGATGGTGGGGCTGGGAAAAGTGGGGAGCAGGACATGGAGGGTTGGGGGTCACAGGGGACCCCAGGGACTGGTGCATTCCAGTGACTGGAGGGCCTCTGCGGCTGCGTGTAGTGAGCAACAATGCAGGGCTGTAAGAGCCCCAAATGTCCCACTGAAATAGACATGAGGGGCAAAGTATTGATGGGAAAACTGGAGACCAGTAACGAGCAGCCTGAGAAGAAGGACTTGGAGGTGTTGGTTGATGGGAAACTGAGCATGAGCTGGCTTCAGTGCGTGCTTGAGCCCAGAAACCAACCATATCCTGGGCTGCATCAAAAGGAGGGTGACCAGCAGGTTGAAGGGGGTGATCCTGCCCCTCTGCTCTGCTCTCATGAGACCCCACTTGCAGCAAGGGGTGCAGTTCTGGTGTCTTCAACATAAGAAGGATATGGAGCTATTGGAGCAAGTCCAGAGGAAGCCATGAGGATGCTCAGGGGCTGGAGCACCTCCCGTATGGAGCCAGGCTCAGAACACTGGGGCTGTTCAGCCTGGAGAAGACAAGCTGCGTAGAGACCTCAGAGCAGCTTCCAGTGTCTGAAGGGGGCTATAGGGATCCTGGGGATGGACTCTTCATCAGGGACTGGAGTGACAGGACAAGGGGTAATGAGTTCAAACTGAAACAGGGCAAGGTTAGAGATAAAGCAGAAGCTCTTCCCTGTGAGGGTGCTGAGGCGCTGGCACAGGGTGCCCAGAGAAGCTGTGGCTGCCCCATCCCTGGCAGTGCTCAAGGCCAGGTTGGACACAGGGGCTTGGAGCAAGCTGCTCCAGTGGAAGGGGTCCCTGCCTGTGGCAGGGGTTGGAGTTGGATGGGCTTTGAGGTTCCTTCAACCCAAACCATTCCATGATTCTACAAAAAATCGGGTGTTTTGGCAAAGGCCCTGGGGAAGGAGGGAGGAGCCCAGCGGGAGCCCACACACAGGTGGGTTGAGGAGGAGGATGAGGTGATAAATGAGAATGGTGGGGCTGGCTGAGCTGGTGGCTTGCAGGGGAAGGAGGCAGAGGGAGTTTGGGAGCTCTGTGCTCCCTCAAAGCCCTCCAGGTCAGTGTCCCCACGCAGAGATGGGGTCTAAAAGCCCCAGCAGCGGGGCAGCAGCTGCCCCTTCCCTTGGGCAGCCTCCAGCAGGGAGGGAGAGCACTGCAATGCTGCTGGCATCTGGAGCAGGTAGGACCTAAAATCATCGGTTTGGGGGGAAGAGAAGCTCCCTATGGCTGCTGCTGTGGGGCCTGCCAGTCCTGAGCAGGGCACAGCACCCTGGGCAAGCAGCAGCACTGCTCACAAGCATGTGTTCCTCCTTGATATTAGCAAGTAAAGCAAGGGGTTATTTCCCTAAAAGTACTTAATGCTCATTAATTGCTCCAGGTTTGATAGGCAGCTGCTCATAGAGATTTAATTGCCCAGCAAGAGGTATAAATCAGGGCACGTGAGCTGAGAACTTGCAACTCCAGCTACTGGAGCTGAGCATCTCATTGCTCAGGCAGGTTATAGCAGTGATTCTGGCTGACGCTTGCTGCAGACACAACACTAAAGTTCCTGCACAACCTCTGTGGAAAGGATGGGTCCAAATAGGCTCCATCTGTAGGAAAAGAGGAGCTTAGCGGTGTGTCTGAGGCAGCTGGATGATATCCACTGGCATGGGAAGTGCTGCTGTGGTTGAAGAGCTTGGTTCCTCCCCCTAGACCTGCTGGTGGGATGTAGTGACAGGGTCTGATGTTGTGGCCTGTGGGTGTCCCTAAGGGCTGAGAGATGGCTTCATGGCGAGCAGCTCCTCCAGCAACACAAGGAATGCATCACCTCTCTTCCAGGATAAGCAGTGGGATGGTGCTCCTCAAGCCCAGGAGCAGGTCAGGTCTGAGCAGCCTTTCTGCTCCAGCTGCTCTCCCCTGCACTGCTCCTGGGCATAGGATGGACTGGGAGCACCACTGGGACCCAGAGCAAGGACCACCGGAGCTGCAGCCCTGTGTGCGCATCTCCAGCACCTCGATACCACAGAAGAACCAACTGTCCCATGCAGGAGCAGGTGTCCTCCTCATCCCTACTGTGTCCAGATGCATCTTGGCCACCGTAACTCATTGTCACCTCCACTCCAGCTGCAGTGATGCTCCTGGCTCCATCCGGGAGCAGTGGGACAGGGAACTGAGTCCCTCCAGGCAGGACAGGCAGGAACAGGGCACCTTCCTGCACCCACCTCGTGGCCATCTTTCACCGGGTGGGAGGATGGATATGGGAGCTGGCGGCACCCACGTGCCCCTGCCTGGTGGCCTGATCCTGGGGCCTCTGAGACGCCCACGACTATGTCCCTGACACCGTCCCTTTCCCTGCGTGACGTCTGCCACCCGGTTAAATCAGATCTGCACCGAATCCCATCGTTTCCAAGGCAACGAAAAAGCATCAGAGGAGCAAAAGCCACCAAGCAAAAGCTGTGGCGAGGGACGGGCAGCTCTGCCAGGTCACCTGCCTGGCAACGAGGGCTCATGGCACTGAAGCAAGCACCGGCACATCCCTGGTTGTCCAGCCCCATCCGGCAGGCACGTGGCAGGGACAGGCTCCTGCAGGGCAGAGCTCGGTGCCTCTGTGTTGGCTGCACCCTGGTGCTGGTTCTGGCCATGATGTGGAGCTTGGGAGGGAGCAGAACCTTGCTGGGGACGTGCCCGAGCAGGCGCATGGCCACCACCAGCAGCAGCCTTGGGTAGCGCGATGCTGCAGGCGTGCGGCCCCGAGAACTGGGCCACTTCCATGGGGAGGCAGTGGGGATGTAGGAAACCAGCCCAGGGCCATTGGTGGCCCCCAGTATGGACCAGGGATGGGATCTCCTGGGCTCAGCCTCGTGCCTGCCCTGCACTGCCACGCTGGGGCTGGTGCAGCTCTCCCCAGCACGGAGGGGCTGTGGGAAGGAGCTCTTTCCGCTTCCCAGCAGCGGCTGCCTTCCTGGCTGCACGGCCCCAAGCTCTGCAATGCAGCTCACACAGCTTGTCTGTGTGTGTGAATCCCATCAATATTGCATGGAGCTGCTTCCTCCAGGGGAACGGCTGCTGTCAGCTCCTGCTTTCCACTGCTCCTACAGGCATCCTCCTCTTGGAGAGAGCATCCACTCTCCTTCCACCAGCCCCCTCTTTCCCTCCCCTTTCTGCACCTGCAAATCTCTCTTCACCTTTCAGGGGTTGAGAGCTCTGGGGTCCTTTCGGGGTCCCATTAAGGCACTGTGGTCACTGGAGCCTGCCCGCAGCAGAGGTGCCCAACGCTGCAGGCACCCAGGACCTGCAGCTCCAGAATGGGTGACTGAAACCACCACCACCCTCCATCTCCCCAGCTGCACGTCCATCACAGGATGATAAATGTGGCCCCATCGTAGCTTGGTGCCAGCAGCCCTGACTCTGCCTGACCAGGTCCGAATGCGCTGCCCAGCACACGTCCAGCCGCAGGTCCCAGCTTGCTCCCAGTGGGAGCCAGGGTGGACGAGGCTGTTGGCAGAAAAATTTGCTTTTTAAATGCTAAGACAGCACTATTCCAGCAAAGCTTCTTAAGCAGAAAACTTGCTGTGGGAAGGCTTCTGTGAGCCGGAGCGATGCCAAGAGACAGCGGGAGCCTGGCACTGCCCGTGGCTGGAGCAGCACCGGCACCCACATCCCTGGCAGAGCAGCAGGATGGGATGATGGGACCCTGGAGCGCATCACTCACCACCCAACAACTAAAATAGGTGCAAGTCCCCACATGCAGGCTGAGGACTCCAGCTCTGGCGTTCCTTTGTCTGCGGGAAGGGTGAGGAGCCGGGAGGCTCCCACCATGGTCCAGCACTGGGAGCCATGGGCCTGGCAGGCAGTGAGCACAGTGGCAGCAGGGCTGTCAATCCTGCACGGAAGCACTTTCAAGTCATTACTACAGCAGCCTGTTTCCTGCTATTTGAGGTGCTGTGACAGAACATTTGGAGTGAGTTGAAATGGATGCGAGGAGACTGTGCCACACGGCCTGGGCTTCACAGGCAGGAAAATGAGGCATTTTCCTAACTTTAAAGTGTCTCTTACATCAGTGTGATGCTTCCCGTAGGCTGTGCTGCAGTGAGAGCAGCAGAGAGCCGGTGGAGGGCTCGGTGGCACCGGTTGGCTCAGCTTGAGGGGCAGCAGAACCTGTGGGAGGATGAAGCTGGACTATGTGGGGAAGCTGGGGGGGGATTTGCCCCTTGCCTTGGGATGCAAGGAGCCATGGAAGAAGCAGACCAAGATGCTGTGATCTCATCATCCCCTGTCCATATCCCGTAAAGGTTATTGTGACCGGTGCTGTGAGGATGGGGCTGAAAATGGGGATGAAACGAGCCTGGGAGTGCTGTGACTGCAGAGGAGCACCTGGGACATGGGAGGTGGCAGGAGTTTGCCCTCACAAAGGGTGCTGGAGCATGTACAGCACTCTTCAGGAGAGATGTGAGCACAGCACAAGGGCTGGCTTCCGAGGGGTGCTGCTGTAGGGGGAAACAGGGACATGTTTGAGCTGGGGCCGGACGAGAGGCGTGGGAGCAGCCCCTACCTGGCTCGGGCACTGTTTGGGCAGGCAGCCCCGTGTCCCACAGTGCAGGGACGGCCCACAAGCAAAGC